GAATATCGCATGGTCTTCTTCTCCTGCATCGAGTAGGCCTGCATTGTCATCGTGACACGCAGAACTGCTGCCGAAAATGTCACAGAGTGTAACGACGCCTCCCTAGAAATCTGGTTTTCCTGGGAGTTCACCTCCACGGACAATTGAATACCGGCCCAGTCAGACTGGTTGTTATCCGACTCTTGGATGACATCCTCCTCATCTGGCTCCGCCTCCAAGGATTGTTCCAACGAGATCGTCGAGTCCAATTCAATGTCACTGATACATTCGTGATCAGACGACTGCTCTCCATCCGAAGGACGCTCTTGCTCGTCCGAGCTGCTCGGGCTGGAGAAGAATAAACATGGTTGTCGATTAGAACGGAGAGGCCTCGAAGCGCCACTTGCATCAGACGATTCATACGCATCACTAGCATCGTCATCGGAAGATAACTGGTCGGTCTCCCGCTGCGTGTCCTCAACACCTTCCTCCTGATCTCATTGATTTTGCGAGACGACAGCAAGATCTGCGGCGTCATCATTGGCAGGCTGCTCAGCGTTGACGGAAATGGCATCGTCAGCATCGTCAGCATCGTCAGCATCGTCAGCATCGTCAGCATCCTCAGCATCCTCGGCATCACGCGCGATTTGTGCCGAGGAAGAAACATTGATTACACGATTTCTAAAAGAAATGTGAGCTGGAGATCAAAGCTCATATACGAACTACTTACACCCTTCTCTTCGCGCGAGTTGCTCAGCCAGCGGCATATGCCTCAATTCTTCATAAACCGGTCAGTTGTCAGTGCGAACCTTGGAAAATCACACAACTTACTGGCGTTGCTGCTGAATCAGCGCAAGTGCTACCTGCCTCGCGCGATCACCACCAAAGTTGTCGCGATACTCCAATCGATGCTCTTCTTCACGTTCGGCCTTGGCTTGAGCATCAGACTCGTCGTCAGCTTCAGATCCATCCAACAACTCAAAATCAGAGTCGGAATCCTCGCTGTAAGGATATACGGCATCTGGATACGAAGTGTCACGGCGTATGTAGTAATACGGTGCGAGATGTCGCGACCGCTCGTTTTGATGGTTTTTGCTGTGAAGATTACACAATGATTAGCCGAGTGCAGGCATTAAACACGTCAAAAACTCACTTTGCCAGCCATCGAGCCGTCCTCTCCCTGCCCGAATTGAGTTGTTTCGCGCGTTTTTCAGACTGACACGAAAATCAGGCGTGTTCTTGTCGTTGTTACATGAAAATGACTAACCTGCACGGAATCGTCCACCGGAATTGCAGGGGCTAAACGTGGCCGTCCTACAGCGCGTTTTCCTTCTATTGAGGTAAGGCGGCTTCGAGGAGCAGGTGCAGAACTCCCAGCTTGTTGTGCAGCTTGGGAGCTCTGACCTTCTTCCGCAGGTTCCGTGGTGTGGCCGTTCCTCAATTGCATTCCTATAGCTATTCTGACGTACGCCGCTATTGCGGTGAATGACAGCTGGACTTGAGTGTTGAAGAGACTAGCCGAATGAAGGGATACAAGTACGGTGTATAACACTGTACTTGTCAAGGTGGTGGGAAGAAAGAGAGATGGATAGACGCCCGACGCGACACGAGACAGTTCTAAATGTGTCAGTAATTCCCACAGACACAAATGCCGTGTGATCCAGCCCAGTCCCGACCTCATTAAATTAATCTAATATGGGCTGTGACAAAAAGAGGGCTAATCACACC